AAGGGAAAGCCAGATGAATGCCAAAAGCACTGCTCCCTTCTCTAGCCCTGCAGTAACAAACTACATGAGTGTATGTTATTAAGATGATAAAGATTAAATTTCTAGTTTCTAACGTGCTATCACAACAGCAAAGGGGGAAAAAATCTTGAAAAAATTATGAAAATTAGTCTGATGGTCTCCTTTTAATATTAAGATCGCTCCCAACCCCAACAGACAGTGTAGGCTGGAATTCCACAGGGCTTTTTTGTGGTCCTAATGATTTTAATAATACTTTGTGCTATGTAGCACCTTTCATTAGAGGATCACAAAGTGCTTTACAGTCACTAATTAATTAAGCCTCACAACACTCCTGTGAGTAAGGTAAGTATTACACATATATTAAGCTGAGACACCGAGAGTTAATGATTTTTTGCTGCATTATTCTGGGAAAATGATTGATGTTCTAGCGCCGTATGTGCATTATATGTCTTTGTGTGGGTGTGTAATATATATGAGTGTAAAAGTATTAATTTTACTATCCCTTAACAAAGATGTCCTACTTGAACCTGTTGAATATAAATGTGTATTTTCATTTAATTTTTTGTTGCTGCAGTGGTGTACTGACTGATAATATCACAGTCTTCGTATACCCTTGACTCAGTTTGCTCTTCGTCTGCTTGTGCATCTACTTGTACAAAGAGTAGTCAGTGGCATCTCATAAAATTCAAACATATTTCTAGATGGATTATTCTGGTAAAAAGAGCGTATGACTAAGATCTGACCTAAACCTGCAGCACAAGCACCAGGCAACAACCATTCTGTTGCAATAGGCTTTGATGACAAGCCATCACATTCAGTAAAAGTAATGAGCAACAACAGTGACCCGCTGGGGAGCTGGTGATCAGCAGGTAATTAGCCATTATCTTCACCACTAGTATGAAACTATTGATTACCAGAATTTGTTTTTCCTTTTTTATTTTTTTTAAGAAGTTCAGTAATCACTATGGTAATTCATTATTCTGAATTACAAACTGAATCTAGAAGAAGTTTTTGTTTCCAGGGATGAACTGATGTGAGTGACTATTGAACAGAAAATTGCAGATGTATGAACCACATAGAGTAGCCTTGCCTGTTTTTGAGGGAAAGTACATATAACTGCAACCTGGGCCTTATCCAAAATTCCCTCAGCTCGAGAAGTCCTTTCATTCACATCAGGCTTAGTAATTCTTTTATTATGGGCAGATCACTATTTTCAGTGCTGAAAAGCCAGGTCTCAAAGCCTGTTCTTCACTTGGCTTCTTCACTAGCACCCGGCAAATGTGCTTACTGTTGCAATGGCACTGGAGAGGTGTGGGAAGTTGTCTGCTAACAATGAAAGTAACACCACTAATTTTTTTTGAAGTGGAACACAAGGCAGCCAGCAGAGGTTAACTTGCAACTGCTGATGGAGTTATTTAGATGCCATTAACTATCCCATTAGGGCAGTCCCATGATGATGCATGTGAATTTTTAAGACACTTTCTTTCTACAGCTCATTTTCAACAGTTACTTTAAAGTTGTTTTAGACTTTGTGTTTGGTAAACATTAGCTCTGAGATATTTTTTGTCTTTTTGTGTGAGTGCGTGTGCGTGCAGGAGCAGGAGCTCCTTCTGAGGAGAAAAGAGCTATGGGATTTTTCATGTTGGAGTGAAATAGAGAACAGCAGACTCTATTTGTATAGTGTCCAGTAATAGATGCATGGGAATGTACAATAGGTGTAATAATGTTTTTAAGTGAACACCATATTTTGAATGCATAATTTAGGAAGGAAAACCTTTTTTTTTTGTTTTGTTTTGCAGATATACAGATCAGCTCTCAAAATGTCTTCTGTGTCTTCCGTGCATCTTCTAAGACAATTGCATTAGCCCGCCTGCTAGTTGACTAATAGAATTAATAATTGTAAAAAGCACTCTAAAGCCACATGCCTTATGAAGTCAATGCTGGGTATGATTTTACAAGTATGTGATCTATTTTTTCAAGTGAAATTGTTAACCGAAAACGTTCTTGGCACACAATAAAACATTGTGCAATCTGTTATTTGTCTTAGAGATAATAATTTCAGAGTGGCTATATTCTTTCTGTATCTAACTTATGACTTGCTAAGGGATGGTTTCTTCAATTTAGGAGTATTGCAAATGTAGTTTTATTTACATAATACGTCTCTGAAAAATGATAGTGGTGGAATTTCGACAACAAAAAAATCCCTGTGTCTTTTCTTACTGTTCCCTTATGTGGATATCAAATAAATGACAGATGATTTTTCAAAAGCTAAAAGAAAAAAAGGGAAAATACTTTTAAATTCAGCCTAAGGAAGTCAATGTTATCTTCTTTCTTCTTTCCTTTCCTTCTCCAAATGTAGAATGTTGCATGAAAAAGCTCCATTAGGCAGATACTGTTTCCTTTTCCCCCCTCCATTAACAACCCAGACTCACAAATGTATTGGGAAAATTAGAACTAAAATAGCTAGATCTACTGTCCAGTTAGCCTGTAGAGAGTCTAGATTTTTCTTTTCTTTTCTTTAAAGGGACTTTTTTTCTGTCCTTTTCTCTGACTCTCTTCTGTCAGTTATCATGAAGATAGCAAATCTCTAAGCTTTCCTTATCTGCCAAAAATATCTGTAACAAAAACATTTTATAACATTGCATTTAGTCTTGTTTAATTTTGACTGAGGTAAAACAGTCATGATGTTTACTTTCTTGATTTCTGATTTTTCTTCACTGCGCAGTCAGGGCCTCTTTCTCTGTCGTCTGCCACGAATTGCATTTAAATGGAAGTTATTTTAAAAATGGTTTGGGATGTGTAACCAGGAGAAAATACATACTTAGCTGAACACCTATCAGAGATATTCACAGATATTTTGTGTGTGTGTTAACCAAGAGCATTCATGGAGTCTCACAGAGAAGTAGCACTGCTGAAAGGCTAATGACTGTCTTTATACCTTGAATTATATATGTTTACATGTTGTTTTAGTAGGCTGAGTCTATTATAATAGTTCTCTTACCACAGCAGAAAATATTTCTTTTCTCTGGGTTCTGAGTGACTTTGTGGTTCAGAAGTTATTGGGGAAAAAAAGAGTCCAATGTAGTTCACACATCCCCTGGTAGGTGTAGTTGATTTTAAAGAGAAGACATTTGGTTCCCAAGCATACGTGTCTTCTGCAGTAAGGCATCGCAGTAGGCATTTAATAAACCTCTTAGGACCACACGGAGTGTCAAAATTTCTGTAACACGAGCTGGCATTCTGTGTGAAAGCCGCCTTGCTGTAGCCCATGCTGCCTGTGGATCAGCTCAACCACAAAGACAACAGAGCCAGCCCAAGACACAAGTTGAACATTTCCCCTAAGAAGTTGTCTGTTTTTATCAACAGAGCATATAGTGCCCTTTCATGTGGAGCAGATGTAAATAAGAGGATGTACAGATGCCTGTTCTTTTGTTTGTAACCTCCGTCCCCAGCCTTGCTTCTCAAAGTACTGTTTTGAGAAGGTTGTCCACGGCTTTCAAAGGTCTGGATACAGCACCATTTGGAGCACATCAGGGCTGGTCCCAGAGTCTCCAGGTGGTCCTCTCTTGGCAGAGCAATGTCTATCTCCAGTGCTTCTGTAGGGCTGTGCCAGGGCTGGCCTGGGAATGGGGGCTCAGACTTGAGTCTGTAGCTCACATCTCATGTGTGGCACTGCAGGCTGCTGCCACCAGACCACACACAATTTGGCAAAGAGAAACATCCATCGTTGTATACAGCATTGGCAGAGATTAAGAGCATAGAAAAGTTGGGGCACATCTGTCTTCTCCCCATAGTTAGCATGTGAACACAAATGGATCAAACCAGCTGGTGATGAATATCAGATCCAGAACCACACAGCTGAGACAGCAGGGGAGTTTAATATATGTATTTTCTCTTAAATAGAGTGGGGAAGGTGAAGTGGATGAGGAATTTGACTTAGTACCTGCATAGTGTGTTTGCTTGTCCTTCCATAATCCCCCCTGTTCAGAAAGCAGCTAACTCATCAGTGGCAGACTCCCCCTTTCTCTCTGATCCTTATTGCTGTCCTGTCTCAGCTTTCTTAAACGGATCCTGGAAGTGTACTTGCAGATTTAACAGTAGTGGCTATGTCTGCAAGGAGGACTGAAAGGTTTGGCTGATGAGATCCATGTGGATTCCAGGTGTTTTCAGGGCAGATCCTGGCTCAGCTACACAGTGATGTCAAATGTCTGGATCCAAGCCTGTAAAGTTTTATTGACAATGGGTTTCCTAATAAAGTTATTTTTTCTTTGTTTGGCAAATAGAACTAATTACATGAATAATGGACTGTGGGGCTACACTCTTGAATATCCATATAATCCTGTTTGAAGTTTATGGGCAGTAGGAGGGGGAGCTTTTGCTATATGGAAACTGATACCTGCTTAGGAAAATACTTTCTCTGAAACCTCAAGTACTTACTCTCCTAAATCTGTTTTCTTCCTAATAACTCAAGTTCTTCTTAGGATTATGTCTTTTAGGTATATTTTTGCAAAGCTGTGTGATATGTGAATGTACTGTGTATGAACATTAGACATCAAAAGTTTATTTTTCCCCTTAGTTTCTTAAAATTATTTTAAAAGAAGCATTAATTTAAAATTCTTCCTGCCAGACCATTATCATCCCAAAAGTTAATGAAACCTGCAATTCACTGATTCTCATGGAAGTGGTTTTTTTAGGTTCTTTACAGTTCTCTTTTTAGTTAAGTTTAATCTCAGCATGCTAATTTTTTAAAAGTTTTCTGCATAGCTTAAAAACCTGTTCAACAAAAATTTTCTGAAAAGTTGATGTACTCAATATATTTGTATAGTTCAGAATGCTTTTAAAGGTGTCAGGTTTATAATCTGTTACATATCTTGTATATCGTGAATAATTCTATAGGTTTTTTTTTCTTTTTTTTCTTTTTTTCTTTTTTATCTCTCTCTTTTTTTTTTTTTTTTCCTTTCTTATTTCTTTTTCTGTGGTAGATATGGTCCGGAAAAAGAATCCCCCTCTAAGAAACGTTGCTAGTGAAGGTGAGGTACAGACCCTTGAGTCTACAGGTACTGAAAGTGAAGAGTCTGGAAGGAAAAAAGAATTTTCTGCAGAGCAGATGCAAGAAAACACTGACCAGGGTGATGCGGCAGAGTTAAGTAACAAGGAGGAACTTTGCATGCATGTCCAAGAGCCATCTTCCAGTGTTAAAAAGGACTTGAAAAGCTCAGTGCTGAGTGAAAAGGCTGGCTTCAATTATGAAAGCCACAATAAGGGAGGAAATGTTCCATCCTTCCCTCATGATGAGGTGACAGACAGAAATATGCTGGCTTTCTCATCTCCAGCTGTTGGGGGAATCTGTGAGCCCTTGAAGTCTCCTCAAAAATTAGATGCAGATGACACCCAAGATGTGGTCTGTACCCCGTCAGGAGATGCAGCAGAGACAAATGAGGAGCATCAGATGTCGCCAAAAGCTTCAGATGAAACAGTGCAAGTGCAAAGTGGTCAAACCGATGGCCAAGGCTCAAGCCCGGTCCCCATGGCCTCAAAAAACCCACAAGTGCCTTCAGATGGGGGTTTAAGGCTGAACAAATCAAAAGCAGATTTGTTGGTAAATGATAATCCAGATACAGCGCCTCTGTCTCCAGAGCTTCAGGACTTCAAATGCAACATCTGTGGGTACGGTTACTACGGGAACGACCCCACAGATCTCATCAAACACTTCCGCAAGTACCACCTAGGACTGCACAACCGCACCAGGCAGGATGCTGAGCTCGACACTAAAATTTTGGCTCTCCACAACATGGTGCAATTCAGCCACTCCAAAGACTTGCAGAAAGTCAACCGCACTGTGCTTTCAGGGGTACTGCAGGACATCAATTCCCAGAGGCCTGTCCTGTTAAATGGGACTTACGATGTGCAGGTTTGTATGCTCCCAGCCTCCCTGCTTCTGCTCGCTGCCTTCTCAGCTGCAAAGCCAGATCTTGCAAAGCCTGTCCTACCTACGTGATTCCTGTATCTCATATAACCTGCTTAAGCCTCCAGAACCATTTTGGTCCATTTTAGCCAGGCTTTCTGCAGGTCTACTGAGCGTAGATGGGTATTTTTTGACCAGTGACATTTCTGTGTAGGATTTAGTTGTTATGGTAATCAATAGCAAGAGATCTTATTCAGCAAACAGGCAAACGGCTGAATTGGTAATCATATCTGAAGGATTTACTGTCACAGAAAGAAAAGAGGAAATAATAATGAAAAATAACCACCAGATAGACAAAAGACAGCAGCTGGAAATTAAAAATGTAATCCTAAATTATCAGCTGCTGGGAGTCAAGATTTGGCTTATTGATTCTTTATTAAGATAAAATAAATGACAAGTCTTGGCAGCTCTGAAGTTGTCTAGTGCCAGAAAAACAGGATACACAATGGATATTTAAAACATTTCAAAAAGTAACAGTAATCCATGCTGTCCTTCATGTTAGTAAGCCTGTAAGAAAAGGATTATTGCCTCAGTCATTCTCATCTAGTTGAAGTTGGAGAGAAAGTACAGATACTGCTGGGAAAAAAAATCTTATTTTTACCATGAAAGAGTGAACTCAGAAGTTTTTCATGGACTTTTCGTTAGTTTCTTTTCATCTAGTATTTAATTAGTTTTAAAAAAAATACTTAAAAAAATCTTTTTGGACTTTTGGAACTGAGAGATACAGTAGGATATTTCAGTATTCTATATGATACAAAAATTCAGATTTTAAGAAAAATCAAACCAAAGTAACAAAGTTTGCATACCATACATGCTCAAATGTCCATCCATTTTCAAGTGACTGCGTACGTGGAAACATTGTAGTAATCACTAGATAAAACTCCCAGGCTATGTTAAAATAAAAAGGTAGAAAGGTGGAAATTATGCTTGCAGAAGCCATAGCTATAGGAAATAAATTTTGCAAGACAGGTTAAGATGGCTAACTTCTAACATCAAGGAAGAAACCAAAACCAGGAAAAAGTCAGGAACTTGAAGCTTTTCAAATTATTTAAACTTTTCCTCTTTTTAAAGAACTCTACAATTTCTTTGTGGAACAGCAAATCAAACTAAGGTCGTTACTATACGTAAAAGCTGCAATCTTTGAACTGCTGCCTTACTAAAAGATCACTGGCTCATGTCAGACACTCTGTCCTGTCAAACTCTGATTAGAAAGCAAATACGTGATGTAGTTGAAAGAGGTTAGAAGTGAATAATGACAGATTGTGAAATGATGATTTATAATTAGCACATAGTATGATGTTAATACCTGGATTTCCTGCTATAGTTTCAGTGTGCTGACTCCAGGGACAGCATCTTAGAGCAACTGATCTGTGCTGTCAGGAAGACATTCAAACTGGAACAGCTCAGACATACAGTATAGAGGAATTTGAGTTTCTAAACACACTTTCATTTCCTCCAAACAATTGTTTCGTTAGGTCCTTAGTTATTTATAGGAAAGTTTATGCTTGATTAGAATTAGCTGGATGTTTTTCCTTTGCAGTGCTCTCAGAAATAAAACAGATGTGTGAGCTATCTCAGTTTGAACTGATAGAATGAGAAATAAAACAGCTGAACCTAGACTATACTTGTCTACTAAACTCTGGCAGTAAGATACTGCAGGGGAGACAAAAAGCAGTAGGAAACAGTCCATAGATAATCTACTTAAGATCAGTCTTTTCTCAGACAAAAAACATTTTCCAAAATAGAACAGACAGCCTATACAATGTTGGCTGTTTATTTGAAAGAAAAAACCCTGCACCTAGAAAATTAATTTTTGAGGGTGCTAGTTTTCCCTGGTCAGTTTGGGAATAGAAGATTAAATAAGCTTTTATGGCAAATGCCATACTTCATCAATTGCACGTGTGCCAGGCATTGATCCAGAACATGTCAGAAGATAAGTAACTGATTAATATTTTTATGCTTTCTCCTCCCCCACTCCTGATTCATAGCAGCTTTGAGAGATTCATGAACAAAGTAAAAGAACATTTGAAAATCCCTTTTGCATCCACACATGTTTATATTACTCCTATATCCATTTTGAAGGGTTTTTTCTCATGCATCTGAAAGGCTGGCATCTCCCACCACAACAAGGGATCATATTGATTGGTGCTCCAGTTAAAATCAGTTCAGTCAAACTCCTGTATTACATGAGAGGGAACTGAACCTGAATAAGAATAATTGGTTCATGTTAACACTATTATTTTTTATAGGTACTGGGCTAAATGAAAATAATCCCTTTGTAATTAACTTGAAATAGTAATGAACTGGGCTTAGGATCTAATTTATTGATCCCCTTGCACTTAGCAAACGGTTCTGTTGTAGCTAGGCTGGAAGTTATTGATAGATTTATGGTCTCAGGCCATGGAACTGGGCACAGAAGCCAGAGGATGGAAGATGACTGACTTTGATCTGGCTCACAATAGTCAGTTGGAGATGATGGTATGTGAAGATTGGTAGTAGTGAGGGATGCTACGGAGCCCCACAGTTAGCATTCATAACAAAGGCAAACAAAAAGCAATGGGAAAATGTTTGAGTGCAGGAAAATACAGTATCTTCTATCCTATCTGTAGAGATCTAGGGACGTGGTCCATTTGCTGAGGGCTTGGAAAAAGAAATCAAATGTGTTTTTGGACTTGTATCAGAGAAGTTAAACCTCACCCATAGCCAAAAAACACCCTCTCAACCCCAAAACCAGCTTTTAGGGGGTATAATCAGCAAAACTGGGGATATATGTATGGTTTCACATACAGGTACTCAAATATTGGGAGTGTGTTTTGTAGTACCTAAAGAAAATTTGTCTGGGAGCTGTGTAAATAATCCAGTCTTTCTGGCATTCCTATTGTGCAGATTTTAACTTGATATGAATATTTAATGCAGCAGATTCCTTTGTCTTCTTAGAAAATGTTATTTTCTGTTGAAAATCTCCTGTACTTTTTGTTCCCATTTTTCTCTTTAAAGGTTTTTGGTTCATTTAGTTATAATAAATTCCATAGGATTGGGTGAAATCACTCAGCTGTTTCTGGGAGATTAACTTTCTTGCCAGTATAGATTTCAGAAAACATTCACTATCACATCTCTGAATTCCCAGGGAATGTGTTAATCAGCTTTATAGCTTTTATCAAAATAATATTTGAAGTGAGTTCAATGGATCTTTTGCTGATGTGCTCCCCATTACTTTTTCTTCACATTTAGTTACTTGATCAATCTCTATAGGCAACTTTGTCTTGCTGGATATTTGAGGATATTGGATATTGGGCTTTAGGCTTTGTGGATGTGCCTAAAGCAGTAGCCTTTATACTGGATCTAAAGACTTCACTTAAAGTAAAATTCAGGTGACTAAGTTAACAGCTATGATGCTGAAAGCTATTGCCTTTGCTGCTGTATGATTAAGTCTCCTTCTGTGTTTGATCTAATGACTCTTTAATGTGTATATTAACGTCTGGAGACAGGCAAGTTGCTGGCAAGTAGAGAGCAGGCAGTCTTTTTTTCTATCCCCCAATTTTTTAATGAGTAGTAATTGTGACAGCTTCAACAGGAAGGCTGGGGAGTGCTGTCTTGCACATAGCAGCCTATAGCTAAGGCGTAGGACATGCCCAGCAAAGGTGAAGAAGCAGGCTTGGATCCCCTCTGACAGAGCGAGGAAAGGAACCCACTTTTCCTGTTTCCTGAACAAGTGTTCAAGCCATTAGGCTATTGTATAAAAGGGAGCGTGACCCCATTTCCTGGTGTGTTTTAAAAGAGAATAGTGTCCCTCAAAGAAAGGACAGAAATGTCTGTGTTCAGGTAAGGGTTTCAGATGGCATGTCCCAAGGGAGAAGGGTATTTATGCAGCCATGAATAAAGACAGACTGCAGTGATCAGCAGTTCTTATGGTTGCTTCATATTGTGTGTGCTACCTTTGAGGCACTTCCTGCTCAGCATGGCCCTGGTTCTGGAGCTCATTGGCACAGGTCTACCTCCTCTTCTATTCAGACATTAAAAAGATTATGACTGTACAATTTATTTTGTTTTTTAAATTTAGTCCTCTGATTTTGATTGTTTCATGGTTTTAGATCTAGACAGACATACAAAAAGACAAATTTCTGAAAAAGCATGGCGTAGTAAAAGCCATCATTAGGTTTGTTGATTGCATTTCAGTGCACCTGGGGGTGGGGAGAGAAAGAAAAGGAATAACTACATTATCTACTACTCCACAGAATAATATGAGATTATTGACAGTTGTTTTCTTCTATGGTTCTAGACATCCAATATTGTAAGAGTTGTCTTACACCACTCAGCCTAATGCTTTGTCATATGTGAATCACAGAATGATTTGGGTTAGAAGGGATCTTAAACCCAATCTACTTCCAACCCTCCTGCTATAGGCAGGAACATCTTCCAGTATACTAGGTTGCTCAGAGCCCCATCCAATCTGGCCTTGAACACTACCAGGGATTGGGCATCTCTGGGTAGAGCATCTACGGTTTCTCTGGGCAACCTGTTCCAGTCCCTCAGTTGTTTTCCTGGTGAAGAATTTCTTCCTAATATCTTATTTAAACCTATCCACTTCCATTTTGAAGCTGTCACCCCTTGTTCTGTCACTACATGCTCTTATAAAAAGTTCCTCTTCAGCATTCTTGTGCCCTTTTAGGTACTGGAAGGCTGCTATAAATTCTCCCTAGAGCCTTCTCTTCTCCAGGCTGAACAGCCTGTCTTCATGGGAAAGGTGCTCCAGCCTTCTGATCATCTTCATGGCCTCCTCTGGACTCACTCCAGCAGGTCCATGTCTGCCTTATGCTGGGACCCCCAGAGCTGGATACCCATCCCCAGATGGACCAGGTGGGGTCTCACGAGAGCAGAATAGAAAGGGAGAACCACCTTCCTTGACCTACTGGTTACATATCTAAGTACATATAATGAACATTAAA